CCCCTCCCTCAGAAGCCCCGAGGCCGCTCCACGCCCATCGGGGGCCTCACTGGCGCTGCGGTGGGCGAAGTGCTGAGGTCTCGGGCGTCGAGGGGTTTAGGGGGGTTGTAGGCTTTTGGGGGTTGGGGGGGTTGAGGGGATCCCCACCATATCCCCCGAAGGCGTTGCATGTTTCAGGGACCCTGAACGGGGCTTTGAAGCCCCCTCCTGACCCCTATTGAATGCTTGCTGATTAAGACCTCAGAACCCTAAGTCCCCAGATCCTCACACCTTAAACCCAAGCCCCTAAACGCCGCAACCCCTAAGCCCTCTAAGCCCCTCGGCTTCTGATATCTCAGTGAACACCCTTAAGCCTCGTACCTTATCACCTCCCTATAAGCTCTAGTCGTTTATGAGTTCCGGCCCCGCAACCTGCAACCGCCAGGGGGTATCAGAACTTCAGCGCCGGCCCCAAGCTGCGGCTAGATTGCCCTGTGGGGTTTAGGGCTAATAGGTCTAGGGTTTAGGGTTTGTAGGGTTGAGGGTTCAGGGTTTCTTTCGGTGCAAGTTTGTTTGGGGATGTTTGAAGGAGTTCGGCTAGAAGATGCCCCAAATTGTTTGAGGGGTTCTTGGGGCTGTGGAGGGCTGTGGCAGGACCAATTCCTGCCAAGAAAACCGTCAGGTGAAGTTTTTTCTTAGGCCATGCGTGGGTCAAGTTGTATCGTTCCTTGAGGGGGCGCTCGCTTCATGACGCGTGCGAAAGCTCGCGTCGCAACAAGTGTGTACAAGGCCTATGGAGGGTTCCTTGGAGGGCAGAAGTGGCAGAGGACTTTTCAGTACACCCACAGACTTCGGTGCCCCCCGCTCCCCCTCCCCCTCCCCTCTCCCCCTCCCCCTCCTTCCCTCCCCTCCCCTTCCCTTCTTCCTTGAAGGGTTTGATGATGACCCCGCCCCCCCAAGTATGTAACGGGTGCAAGCCTGACAGCACTCCAGATGATGCCGCCGCAGCAGCCAAGGACGGATGGGCTGCGAAGCTTCAGCCGCGTTCCGCGCGTCATGCGGGCCGCTTGGAAAGCAAGGAGGTGTGGGATCCAAGGATTGTTGACAGGGTTCCTTGAATCGGTAAACCCAAGGGAACCCCCCCCGCGGCGGCCTTGCAAACCCCGTTAAGCAAGGAAGCACGCCCTGCTTTTCGTTCCCGGGCAAACTGGAACTGGAAACCCAAAAACGCAGCAGCCCAGGTCGTCCTGCTGCTGTCTGCAAGCAAGATGGAAGTCGCCGAGCTTGCCAAGGCTTTGGGGCCTGGGGTTTGGAGCCAAATGGTGGTTTCAGACTCAGCGTCGCATGAAGTTCGGATGACTGTCTTGACGAGATGGTTATGCTAGATTATTTCAATTGCGCAGCTCAAGTTGGGGAGTTGATGCTTTCTTTGAAGGTAGCCGAACCGTGGGGATAGAGATGCCAGCCTTTGTGTGCCAGAACCCCCTGAGCTGCTGACTGGTAGTCGCACGGCATGCCCAAAGTCCAAACCCTGCTGACTGCAGGTTCGGCAGATCTTCGACAGCGCCAGAGCTGCACACGGGGACCCCCGACAACCCAGCTCCCTCACTCCCCCAAAATCCTCCGAGCCTGAAAGAATCCTCAAGCCCGAGCCCAGAGGAAGCTCGAAGACACCCCAAAAGTCCTGAATTTGCTAGGTCCTTCGGGCGGCTGGGAAGCTGTAGGGTCCCAAGGCATAGATCGTGACCATGATGGGTTCATCTCCTCCGCGGACATGGAGGACTTCCTGAATGGGCCGCTCCGCCTCTTCGGGCTCTTGTTGAGGGCTTTCGGGAGGCTGAAGCTCCAATAAGTCTTTAAGTTTCGGAGTATCTCTTCTTTGAGAGGTTCAGAGCTTTTGGCGGGAGTTCCTGCCCCACCGAAGTTGCTGGAGGAGAGCTTGGGGGTTTGCAGTCGCACCCAACCAAATAGTTTTATAGGGTCCCTCATCGGTACCTCGGTACCCTGAACAGGCAGATGCTAGAAGCCCCATGAAGGTTCCCAGAATTGAGACCAAGGCCCCCCCCAAGTGCTGATGTGCAATCATCCAGTGTCATCCGAGGTGGATGTGCCGCATGGGACGATTGGCACACTCCCTGCTCCTTGGGGAGCACCTGGTGGGGTTCAGCTCAAGATCCTAACTGCGGTTCCTTGCGCTAGAATCTTGCTATGCATGCGTAAAAAGGCTACTTGTTTGTTGGCGTAATACTGAAATACGCATAAGTATACACACTTCCCATAGAAATGAGCCCCCTCCAAGAATGAACTGCAATTGGAATTCTAGGCACCCGAAAAATGCCGAAGCCTGCAGGGTTCAGGCGCCTTCCCCGAAGGACCAACAGGCCCCAAAAGCCCAAACAGCACTGGAACCCAAGAATCAACGCCATGCAACTCCACCCATTCCCAGAGTTTGTGGGGCTCCATGTAGGCGGGAAGCTTTCTCTGGCACCCTTATCCCTTAGAAAGAGAACAGGGACACTCGAACCCTCCGTGTTGATGGCTCCTACGAGACACCCCGTCAAAGCCTTTGATGAAACGCATATGCACCGCTGACGGTGACACTTCAAAGGCACCTTGAGGGCGTCTTGTCCACACGTGAACCCTGTCCAAACAGCGCAAAAACTCCAGAAGTCACAACCCTGAGCTCCCAAGAGTTTGAGACATATCAACCCCAAACCGCATACCCTTTAGCCCGAAACCCCAACACAGAAATCTAAATCCCCCAATCCCAGGAGGACGCTGTCCATGCCAGTGCGGCCCAGCTCAGACGTCCACTCACTGCTACAGCTCGCCGACTTGGACGAGGATCTTGGGTTTTGGGGGTTGGAGGTCGCTTGAAGAAGAATGTAGACATAGACTCAACGGCTAACCAAGGTCCGGACAAGCCACCCGCAACCATCTGCGACACATCGAAGCTCTCAGCAAAGAGCACTCCCGGTATACCCCCTTAAAACCCCTCCGGTCACTTTCGCGTTCTTATTCAGAGTACGTACCGTCTTGCAGAACATATTCCAGGAAAAGCCCAAGCGCGAACTTGAACCACCCCTGGCGGAGAGGATGGTTCTATTGGATACACCGAGTTTCTCGTTGCATGGATGCTCCCTGGCTCTGGGGCTTATGGGTTGTCAGCCCGATGAAGGCCTCGAGGCCCTAGGCCCACCCACCCTCCGCACAACAGCACCTGAGCCCTAAGCCCTTTAAGCCCTTAGGGACTTCCATCTGAGTCCCAGAATGCCAATAAAGTGCCCTTTTAATCCATGCGCAATGCGCTGAATGTGTTGGCCAGTTCGGGCTTGATAGGCTTGATAGCAGGGGCTCCCAAAAGGAACCACCCCTAAACCCTAAAAGCCCTGAGGCCCTGAACCCAATTTAGGACTCACCCTAAACCCTAAACCCTAAACCCCAAACCGGCAAGGCACGCCAATCCTAAACCGCAAGGTACGCCAACCAAGGGGCTGGCGAGGCATGCCTTAGGCTGGACTTGTGCGATTTTAGGGTTTAGCGCCGAAAGGTTAGGCTTTCTTGGGTTTAGGTTCTTTTTTTTTTGGAGGGGGGGGGGGGGTTGGGGTTGGGCTTTAGGGCTTAGGTTTGTTGATAGGGTTTGGAAATGACAGCTTTGAGGGGTTTGGGGGCCTCAAGGGTTGTTTAGAGTCCGGCGCTTTAGGATTTAAAGGGTTCAGGCTTCGTTTACAGGGTGTCAGGCTTCGTTTACAGATGTTTACAGGGTGTCAGGCTTCGCGGGTGTAGGGTTCAGCATCTTCGGTTACTTTAGCATCGAGGAACACCATGAATGCCTGGTCACCAACGGCAAACAGCAAGCACCCTGCAACAGAAATCCGAAAGCAGCTCTTGGCCCCCGCTTGATGCAAGAACGGGCTTCGTTAAAGGCAAGTGTGATGTCCGTATCAACTGCATAATGTCTTTGGGGCGACCTCAAAGAAGGTATTTAGCATCACGAGGAGGCCTTTTGCGCCAAAACCTGCACCTCAGTCACGTCAGGCAGGCCTTCAAGACCTTGCGGGGAAGCGACGGCCGCATCTCGCGCTCGGAGGTGCTTGGTCCGTGCTCCTTCCCCAAAACCGTCTTCGGAGCTTTTTCCCTTTGTAAGTTTCTGTATGCAGTAGGTCAGTACTATCACGAACCAAGAACTTGGAGGGTCCAAGAACTCATTCGAGGGCAGCCTGGGGCTTTTGCTCCCATAGCTTTCAAGCTTCCTGCGCAAGCCCCGAGAAAAGCCCTGCCCTTTATCTTTGTGCTCTCTACGAAGCACGCTTGATGGGTCATAAGCCCGAAGTTCTGCTCTTTTTTTTGAGGGGTTTGTAGGGTTTGCTTCAGGGATTACAGGGGCCGCCTCAAGCATGAGAGCCCATCAAGCCCCGGAATGTAAGGACAGCTTCAGCATGGGAGTTCTTGGGTGGTGTAACCAGGGACCTCAGCAAGGGTTGTGCAAGGGATATAGGTCTATGACATGACCAGAGAGCCGAAGAAGGATCGACCGCCTTGGATACCCCCGTTAAAGCCCCAAACGGCGTTCAAAACCCAAATCCTAAAACCCTGGTGCCCCAGGAGCAGTTATTGGACAAAGTTCGGGGAAACCATCCCGTGGTTTGTAGGGTACAGGGTTTCGAGGGTTTCGAGGGTTTCGAGGGTTGATATACGATTCGGAGGTGCGATCTGCTCTCTGTGCCCGGCAGATGCCGCTTGGTGGCATTCGTTTGGGGCCCTTGAGGTCCTTGAGGCCCGAGAGCCTCCAAGAAACTTCAATGCCCTTATAGCCTCAAATGAAGAAAATCTCTGCATCGGACGTCAGGAAGGTAGCCCTTCGAAGCCCTCAACACTCAGCAACCTAACCGCAAGCCTGCAGTCCCGAATGCCTTCACAAAAACCGTCATACGGCCCTCGCAGCCCAAGAAAGTGCTCCACCAAGGCAGGAACTCGGTTGTGGCAAGCAGCTCGCGGAGGCGAGGCTTCAGGGCTTCAGGATGTTCAGTGTTTCAGGCGTCCGTGTGTCTGTCTCTGTGTGTCTGTGTCTCTGTGTGTGTGTGTGTGTGTGTTTGTTTTTGCTCTCGGGGGGGGGGGGGGGGGGGTACACCTGCTTCGCTGCCCAGCTTGAACACAGCAGCCACGTCGCTCGGGCTGCCCTTCACTCTGAAGCGGGGTTGGGGGCGCGCGCCTTCCTCAACGCCATGCCCTCAGGACGCACGCGCATGGAGCCTGCCGCCTTCATTGCCGAGTTGCGAATCCGCCTGGGGGTGCCCGAAGCCACTGATGATTGCTGGTGTCCTCGCTGCGATGGGGTCTTGGACTGCTGGGGCTACCACGCTGGCATGTGTGTGGCTGGCGGCGAACGGACTCTGAGACACAACGCTGTCCGTGACCTTGTGTGTTCCTGGGCTGAGCGGGCTGGCCTTCGGCCGGAGAAGGAGCGCCCGAACCTTCTGCTGCCCACTTGCCCTGAAGACACGCAGACAGGCAGACGTCGCCCTGCCGATGTCTTTCTGCCTGCCCTTGCTGGGTCTCCCGCTGCGCTTGACTTCGCTGTTACAGCGCCTCAGCGGCAGGAGACCCTAGCACTGGCAGGCAGGGAGACAGGCGCGGCGGCTGCTGCCTACGCCCGCCACAAGGAGGCGCACTTGGGCACTGCGCAGGCCTGTGAGGGCCAGGGCGTGGTGTTTGTGCCGATGGTGGTGGAATCCACAGGCACATGGGACAAAGGTGCGGGCATCGTCCTCCAGCACATTGCGCGGGCTGTGGCTGCGCGGACTGGCGAGGAGCCCCAGCGTGCACATTCCGCCCTCATGCAGGAGCTGTGCGTTCTGATCCGTGCCCATCGGGCGCGGGCGGCCCTGCGCCGCCGCGCTGAAGCTGCGGAGACATGATGCTTGGAAGCAGCATGGAGCTGCGCTGGGGGAGACCCGGTGTACTGGGGGTGTACTGGGTAGATGTGGACGCCCGCTCGTACAGTACGACATGGGCCCACGACCCTGTGTAAATGTCTGTCCATGACTGTGCACGTTGGAAGGGGCGATGCTGGAGGCAAAGGATTTCCGCACCTTCCTGGAAGCACGGAGCTGCGCTCGGGAGGACCCGGCGTAGTAGGGGGGGGGCGGTTGACGGGCCTTGCTGCGTCTTCCGTCCGCGACCCTTAGTGTCGGTTTTGCTCGGTGGAGCGCTGCTTGCTAGAATCGTCTTGATGCTTGGAGTTCTGGCATGGGTTTGAGCACCTGCTCAGCGGTTGCCACAAGCAGCTGCGAGTGTAGATCTTTGTTGGAATCTTGGCTGCGGTTGGTGGTTTCTAAGGCTTCAAAAGGCTTGCGTCGTTGTCTTTCGGCGCATCTGCGCTCCCGCCTAACTAAGACGACAAATCAAATTGAAGCCACCGATCCAAACTCGTACCCCTAAGGTAGTACCCCTACAGGCTCCCCTTAGCATGCTCCCGATTAGGGCCGTATTCTTCCGTAGGTGATCTTCGAACAGGCCCTCCCAAACCCAAGGGTACAACCTCAGGCATTCAAGATAAGAACCACCCTAAGCCCCGTTCAGAGCCCCGGCCCGCGCCCGCCTCGCAGGACATCGCCGCGATCTTTCCGCCTAACGAGCGGCTGACCTTTGAGCGTTTCCAGGCTCCTGGAGCTCATGTGTGCAGGGTGTAGGGTCTAGGGTCCAAGCCCCTCTTTTTGGTGTGGAGGGAGGGGTTGGAGCTGAGAAGCCCTAGGGTATATGCATATCAATATATATATATATATATATATATATATAGAATACATATGTGTATATATCTAACGCATATATACAGCCTCGATCTTTCAGCTCCAAGCAGGGCAAAGAGGTCGAAGCTCCAAGCCCCAACATATGTCTTGGGGGGCGTACATACCTTTGTGTAAGTAGGACTCGGAGGGCAGAGCCCTAGGACTCCGCCGCCTTCAGGGTTGCAGAGCCCACAAAGCGCCGTGAAGGCTCCGCCCAAGATCGGTACCACAGCACACCTCCGACAGAGACAATATCACATAAGCGAACCAGGCCGCAGCCTGAATCTTCGCCTCCACCCCCCCCTTTAGGGTGTACAATAGGGTTTAGGGTTTAGGGTTCTACAGACCCCCAAGAAGCCCCTCTTAAGAAGCCTTTCGAAGAAGCCAGGAGTGCCTGCAGAAGCACGAGGACCTGGGCCCGAACGCCTCGCTGCAGCTCTCCTCCGGCCGGGGCGAGGCCTTTGAGACTTGAGGGGCGTCTGGGATTTTTTTGTTTCAAGGGGCTTCTTAGAGGGTTGTGCTAAAAAGCTTTTCTGGTTTCTGGGGTTTGCTCGGGCTGCTAGGGGTTCAGGGAATCGTGGTTTTGAGAGTGCGACGGGCCGTATATGAACTGCGTCTTCTTGACTGTGTGTGGATGGCGCTGATGGCACCACCTGGGGAGGAAGTGGCCGCTTGTTTGTGTGAAGAAGCCAATGTGAGCGGACGTTGTTCCGGGACATGGCTTCTTTGCTGTGCGCATGGATCTCTCGCCAACTGCTTAGGACCGTAAGCGGTTCAGGGCGGGGGCTGCCTCGACTTGTCCAGCACCAACTGTAACCAGCCGACTTCGTTAAGCTTCATTATTCGGCCGACCACAATCGAAGTCATCTTACAGTCGCTGAACAAGCAACCCACCACTTAGCAGGTGCATGGGCAGCTTATATCCATTGATCAATGAATAAATATATACATATGTACGTATAATGAGGGTCAAAAGTGGCCCTCATGGCCCTGGCCAATTAGCACTTTTCACGTCCCCCGTTCTATCTGCCCGTAGCCTTAGACCCTTCATCTCCCCAGTTGCCCTAAACCCTAAACCCTAAACCCTAAACCCTAAACCCTAAACCCTAAACCCTAAACCTCAGATCACATTCCAGTATCCCAGAAGTATCCCGAGCGCGGGGTGCCGCAGGTTGTTCCAAGGACTTGGGCACCCTGGGCTCGCCGAGGCCACATGGGCGGGCGTCGTGCTAAGGCTGTTGCGGGTTCGTTTAGACTGCTTCGCGAAAAAGACAGTCTGCCGCATAAACCCCGGCGCGCCCCAATGCTCCAAGCCTTTTCTCCGCCGGTTTTTGGCCCCCAAACCCCAGCTTCGGACGGCTACGACGCCAACGACTCGGACTTGGACAGTGAGGACAAGCCGGGCTCCCAAAGACCGGGGCTTGAGTGTCGAGGTTTCGGCTTAGGGCCCTGTAGGCCCCTGTAGGTCTCCGAGCCTCCACTGCCCTGAACCCAAGGCTCGGAAGCCCTAGGGTGCTGGGAGGGGTCTGAAAGGGCAACAATGGCCCAAGCCCGACACCCTAAAGCTTCAACCATAGAAGCCCTGCAGCCCTTTTAACTCCGACTGTAGACTGTCCTAAAATCTACCCCGCAGCCTGAGGGCCTAAGCCCTGGACCCTCAACCCTACGCCCCTGTCCCGTAACCCCGAGGCCCCTGAATCCCAAACCCTAAAGCCCCTAGACCTGAAACCTTAAGCTTCAAACGCCCTTCAACCCTGAACCTTTTCAAAAGCCTTAAACCCTGAACCTTAAAACTCCTGCACCCTGAACCCTACACCCACAAAGCGCGCAAGACTTGGGTCCCTTCCCTCTTCTGAGGCCCAGCCGCGAGTCGATCTTCGGCACCCCGGACAGCATGGCTATGGACTTATAGAGAGACGCAGGGCTGAGGGCCCGAGGGTTTAAGGGTTTGGGGCTTCAGGGTGTAGGTGTTTGGGGTTTAGGGTTTAGCTAGGGTGCGCGAGCCCTCCAAGATTGGGGCTTGGGTCTCCAGATTCGCCTCTGTTTGTGCCACTTGGAACCACGCCCCCCTCCCCCCCCGAATGGCGGTACTCGTTTGCCTTGTTGCCGAAGAAACCCCAAGGGAAAATTCGGCTTCGGGCCCAGCATGACCCGAACCAAAAACTGTGAACCCTAGAACGTTAATCCTGAGCCTTTTTGCCTTCCTGCTGCTCAGCAGCCAGGCAGCCTGTGCACTTGCCTCCACCACTGTGTCATGGAGCGGGCTTTGCGGGCGCTGCTCTTTTGGTTCCGGGCTTGGTCAGGCATCACCGTGGCACTTTTGCAGGTTCGAATGGGGCTTAGGGTCCTGTGCGAATTCCATTCCAGGGTTTTGGGCGCTCTCCGCTTTTGTTTATTGAGATCTGTAGACACCTCAAAATACCTTGTAACTCTGGAAGTCTCTCAAACTCCTTCGCAAGGTTTACAGCCGTCGGTTGTATGGGAGCTCTCAAACTTAGGACAATGTCCGAAAGGACGCCCCAAAAAGGACCTACTTTTCGGAGCCGACCCATGCAAACAAAAGAACAACATATCCTGCCAGGCAGATGTGAGAGCCGGGCTAAGCGATCCAGAGCATGACTAGAGATGCCTAAAAGGCGCCCACGAAGGCCCAGACCCCGCAGACTCGAAACTCAGACTTGCGCTCTTGCAATCTGTTGCTCTATAAGATCCCCTGCAGGAGCCTGTGCTGCTGGACGAGCAGGAGAGGGAAGGGTTTGGTGCGTTGGAGACTGAACCCCTATAGGCCCTCTAATAGGAGGGTTCTCGGATGCACAGTGTCAGCAGGGTCAGGGTGCAGGTGGTAGAGCATCAGCACTGCAGAAGCAAACATGTCTGGTCTGGGCTGAAGACATCCAGCAAACAGAACATCATGGAAGAGTTTAGGCTCCATTCAGGCTCCATTTTAGGCTCCATAGGTCTTTAGGGCTTCCGTTCTTTCGGGTTCAGCCTCTGCATAAGACTTGAGATGCCAGCGCAGGAACAGGCTGTTGCAGAATCAGAAATTGGCAGAAATGGGCCACGAGCACGACGCTACGACGCAAGATGACGCGAGATAGTGTCAAGTTGAACTGCTCAGGCAGGTCTGAGTTCCTTCCGTCCTTCCGCGTGACATGTCTGAGGTGAACTCCCATGGCCTGCATTTCGCATGCCGTTTTGTTGCTAACCGCTGGATGACGCAGGACATGCTTCTTCACGTGGAAACATGGACGTCGTAGTCCGTGGCCCCAAGCTAAACATTTACCAACATGTTGGAACGGCTTCCCAGGGCGCTAAGCAGAACCCATGCAGCAAGATTTTGCGACAGCTCAGCCAACCGACCAGTGTTCCACATCCGATTCGGGATTGGGGTTCGGTGAAGAAATGGGCTCTACGCACTGGCAGGCGTGAGAGTGAGAGTGAGAGTGAGAGTGAGACGGAGACAGAGACGGAGAGGGCGAGATACAGAGAGAGAGAGGAGACGCAGGTTCTTACTCCTATGTTCTACACTGGTGTTCAGTCAGTATTGAGCTGTATGTGGATCCACAGACCCACAGAACAGGCCGATCCCGGGAGAGCTGTACGGAGTACCACACATACAGTATGTTCCAATGGGTCCATGTGCTACCGGGTCTCATGTGGACTAAGACCGAGGGCGTGCGGCTGCGCGCGTGACGGACTAAGATGGAGCGGGAGTGAGACACAGAGACAGTGAGAGATTGAGACAGGGACAGCGCGGCGAATCGGGGCAGTGTGGCGAATCGATCTGGCGCGGGGAAGCATGGTACTGGCTCTCTTGGATAAACATCTCCCTTTCCCTCAGCTTTTCTTAAAAAGTGCCTGGGATTCCAAGCTCCAGCCGAGGAACATGTACAGCCTAAGCCTGACGTGCCCGTGCTCAGCAAGTTTCACCGCGCTCTTTTAATAGCCCAGCAGCCTGGCCATTGCCAGCAAATCCAAGCCGGTTGCGCAGTGGACTGGGCTCCTGGATTGTGTAGGGAGGTCCTCTGGATCCTCATAGCTCGTAGCCCTGAAAGGCCAAAAAGCCCTCGGCCTTGAACCCTAGACTCCGTACACAGGCACTTGGCATTACGAAAAAAGGGCCCCGACAG